AATTTGGAGGCTTTAAGTCCAAGTTCAAAGTGCCAGGCTCTAGGGGCTGGGTGAAAGCCCCTCAAACTTGGGGTCCAGCTCCGCCTCCTGCTCCCAGCCCACTGGAGCTACAGGCATTTCTTCACTCAGACAGCTGCTGGCTGCTGAGGCTGAGAAGCCCCAAGGTTGACAAGTAAAAAGGCACAGTCCCGAGGTTACCAAACCACATGCCAGGCCATTAACTTAAGTCCATTGTAAGTCCTAAGGTCGACAGAGCATAGCAGGCTGCTGAGCAACGACACGGCTACATGCAGGGTCCAAGCGTGCCATAGGCTAGAGACCATTCCCAAAGCTTCTCCTTAAATACAGGAAGCAGACCACCTCCCAAAGGCAGCTACTCAGCTGCTCACAGTAGATTCCACCATGGAGTTGATTACCAGTCTCATCATGGGGAATAGCTACCACCAGCTGCCCTGCCACTCAACCAGGCCCAGCCAAGTTGACACACAAACATAACCACCACACAGAGAGATAGGGAGAAGAGGCTGAATGAGTGATAAAGCAAAAGAAGTAAAATGTTAACAACATATGAATCTGGGAAAAGGGTATATATTTTATTTTACAGTTTATTTTATGTTTTTAATTATTTACAAATAAAAAATGTTTTAAATGGATTGGCGAAATCAGTGTGACCCAAATTGATGAAGACATCAGTGAACTGTGCATGCTGCATGGAAGCAGGGAAAAAAGAAGTGTAAGTGTCATTATTGCTTAACAAGTAAGAGATTAAAAAGGCAACCAACTTGTGGAAGAAAAGGCACAAAAACACAAAAGCCTTTGGTTCTATATTTATAGGTTTACCAAAGGCATGAGCAGGCAGCACATACATTTTAAGATTACAGTTTCTAACACCTAATAGAGGAAATTACAGAGCATAAGAGATATTTACAAATTTGAGCAACTGCTAAAATCTGGGAACATTTTCTTGCCAGGTTCCGGGTCTTTGGGATCAGGAGGAAGGGAGATGCCAGGGTTAGCCTGCTCAGTTGGCCCATATCAGAATTTGCAGGATCATTTCTTTACATTACAAGCATCACATTGGATAAAGGATTTAGGAAAATTAGAACTTGGATTCAAGGGAAGGATCTGGATGGTAAATAGACTCAAACACATGGGGAAAAGAAAGAAAGGAAGGAGGGAGGGAAAAAGGAAGAAAAGAAGAATAAAGAAAGGGAAGGAGGAGGGAAGGGAGATGGGGGAGGGAGGGAGAAAACCTTCTCTAAGAGGCCTGTGGGGGTAGCAAACTTCTATCCTCCATAAACCCTAGACTCTAAGGCCAAAAACAAACAAAAAATTGGGGATGAAGTTATCCATGTCAAAACTCAAAGAAAAAGTAATTTTCCTACAGAAACATCTTGTCTTTTTCCAATCATGAAAGTACACATAGTCTAACCCCCAAAAGAAATTTAACATTATTATGTAAATATATGAAACAGATGTTTCTTTTTCAAAGCTTAAATCATACTAGCTGTATACCTTGTGGTCTATATTTAAACATTTTATCACCATTTGTAATGACTTCATTGTGTTCTATTATATCCTACTTATTCTATATTCTATTGCATTCATGTTTTATCATTTAGGTTGCATTAGGTTGTTTTCTGCTGTTGTAAACAATGTTTAGATAGACATCTTTGTGCATTTGGCCAACGATTTCCATTAGATACAAGTTCAAGGAATAGAGTTTCTAAGTCAAAAGGTAGTACAGTGAAAAGTGCAGTCAAAAGCAGTGAATATAAAGCCATCACCCTGCATTTTGTGATGTATGTTGTTGTTTGCCATCGAGTCGGACCCGACTCATAGCGACCCCTCCTTGGGTTTCCGAGGCAGTATCATTACCGAAGTAGATTGCCCAACCTTCCTTCTGAGGAGTGGCTGGTGGGTTTGAACCACCAGCCTTCTGGTTAGCAGTCAAGTGCCTTAGGCACTATGCTAATCCTAATCCCTATGCCTATTTAGGTGGGATGCATCTTGAGTCTTGCCTTGCTGGAGGGTGTAACTCAAGTCACCACCCTTAGCTTCCTTGAGGGTATATATGTGAATGTTCTGGGAAAGTTCACTCTCTTGCTCCTGTTTTGTCTTCGGTTCATCATCATCTCACCCCCAGACTTGAGACAGCAGTCATCATCTGACCTGTCAACTTGTGTTTACCAAGCCCTGCAACCACATGAGTTGGGAGAATCCTCCAGACCTACCCATAGGCCTGGAACTTGCCAGCTGCCAGCCTCCCAGCCTCCGCCACCACCACATGAGCCATTTCCTTGGGAGTTTGTGAGATCTGTGAGATGTTACAACGAACTATGAACGCTAAAACAGGAGGGAGATTAGTGAGGGGAAGAGGAGGAGCTGACCTCAGAGATGATAGAGTGGCATGGCAGTTTGGAAAAGTTGGACATTTGGGACATCTTTAACTTCTGCCTCATGGGGACCGGCCTTGTGCTGATCTTTCTAAAAGAAATTATTCAAGCAGGTAGACATATTTTAAGACTACACATATATATTGCCAAACTGCACTCCAAAAGAAAAACTAGCAGTTAACACTTGTGCGTTTGAGTGCTAACCTCCACATACCTTCTCAACACTGGTTAGAAAGCACAGTTTCAAAAATAGGGTGTTGTCAAGAGTTAAAGGCTACAAAGGTGAATACTATTACATATACAATCTTGCAATAATAGCAACAAAAACAATTTACAAGTGAATGCATAGATAGACACTCAATCTTAACGGGGTGGGGAGGCAATGGGACTACACTCACAAATGTATACAGGTTTAACAGAGGCTATGTGTACCTGTGTATTTACATGTGCTGCAAAAATATCCATGAATGTAGTAGACCCTACAGGGGATAAAGTTATGAAAACATCTTAGTCACAACCAAACACGTTGAGGGAATGAGTCGTTGGGTATGGAGGCTCAGGACCATAGTCTAAGGGGACACTAAGGTCAACTGGAATAAGCTACACCACAAAGACAATGTTCGCCATCCTACTTTGGTGAGTAGTGATTGGGATCTTAAAAACTTGTGAGTGGCCATCTAAGGTGCAACTATTGGTCTATTCCCACCTGGCACAAAGAAGAGTGAAGAAAATTGAAGACACAAGAAGCAATTAGTCCAAAGAACTAAAGAAGCATGTGAACCCCAGCCTCCATGACCCTGAATCCAGAACTAGAGGGTCCCCAACTACCACTGCTGTGACAGGGATCACAGTAAGAAGGCTTAGATCAAGTGGGGGGAAATGTGGAACAAAACTCAAAATCATAAAAAAGATCGGGCTTATTGGTCTGACGAAGACTGGTGGAACCCCTGAGACTGGCCACTTCACACTCTTCAAGCTAGAAACTGAACTTCACCTCTGTGACTCAATTGGCAGCCAAATGATAGGCCTACAAGGTGATAGGTAATATCAGGAGGGGATGCACTCATTAGAACAATCAAGCATATGAGATCAAAAGAGCAGCATTTGCTCAGGGGTAGAGATGGGAAGGCGGGAGGGGACAGGAAGAAAGGATGAAGGGAAGGGGTGGGTGCAGGGAGGAAGGAGAAGAATGCTGTTACAGTATGGGGATTGCAGTTAATGTCACAAAATAGAATGTATATGGATTGTTCAACGGAAAACCAATTCGCTCTGTAAATGTCCACTCAAGTCACGATTTTAAAAAAGGGGGGAGGGGTTGTGAAGGGATGCTCTGTTTGTTCCACCTCTTCCGCTCCCAACAGCCTATATTCCGGGCACTCGATAAATCAATCCAGGCTACAGCCCAGTAAACATTCTGATCTCATCTGACTGCCCTGGATGGTAGAGAGCTCTCCCTCTGGTTCACTGCCCCAGATCCAGGCAGCACATGGTCCTATAAAGGCAGTAGCCCCAGGCCTATTACGCAGAAGGCTCCGACTCCCTCAAACCACCTTCTGCCCCCAGGCCATCCCTTCAGTCATGAAGCTCCTGTTCGTGATCTTTGCCACTCTTGAAATCCTGGCCCTGGTGACCCCAGGTAAGCTGCATGGAGGGAGAAGAAGAGGTAAGGGCCAGGACAGAGATCAGGTCCGGTTGCTATGGTGACAGGCAAACCAGTTTGGGAGGAGGAGGGCTTACCCCAGTGAGTTGCAAACTAAAGCAGGGGATTCCCAGCCTCCTCTTGCCCTCGCTCCCCAGCAGCCCGGAAGGAAGAGGCTCAGAGGTCTCACCTCCATCCACAGCAGAGGCCTGCGAGGAGACCCTTTGGAGGGCGAGTTTCTGAGGGTGCTCAGCTTGAACCCTGAGGAGAGGAGAGAATGCAGAGCCAAAGGGGAGGGGGCAGGGGGAGAGAGAGAGAGCAGAGGAATTCCAGGCCAGTGGCTGTGAAGAAAGCCAAGGAGGGTGGTGCTCAGTAGAGGCCGGCAGAGGCGGTGCCCTGAAACAAAGCCCTCAGATTTGACCAGAAGGTGGTCCTGGCACCTAGCAGTGTATGAATGGAAAAAGACCCTGTCAGTAGCAACCATTATTTTCCCTTGAATGCTTTTGGGAGATGATTTTATTTCTTTTTCCCCAAGTTGATTGATATTCAGTTTCATATTCCCTGAGAACAAATGAGGCAGAAAACACAAGAGGGAAGGCAGCAGGGTGAGAGTAGCCCCAATTTCCCTTTCAAGTAGTCAAGCTCCTCTCTGAACATGGGGATCTGACCCCCACCCCGTTTTTACCCATACATCCTATCATACAGTGTCAAATATGGTAAAATTGTAAGTCTTCACTAGCTACAAAGACGTGGACACTGAGGAGAAAATATTCCTCAGAGTTCCCAGAGGCCATCAAGCAAGGGAGAGTCTATCTCCCCTTCACTGTCCCTCCCAAGTCTCAGTTGCCCCAGTGTCTTAAGAACACATCTCAGAATAACAGGTAAATGCTCCCCTCTGGCCCCTACCCCTTGGCAGTCCCTGGGCTGCTTCTGGCTTTGATTTCTCTGTCTTTTCCTCTCCTATGCAGCTAATGGGGGTGGGACCAGATGCGGGTGGACCACCCCCGGACACTGCAGGATGAACTGCCACTGGGATGAAAGATCGCTGTTCACATGTGGCCGGTACAGATACTGCTGTGTCCGAGACGTTTTAAAGCCTAATCCTATCATGACTCCATATTTCCATAAGGCCTTTCACATTCAAGTCACAAAAAGCCAAGAGGACATGACAAAATCACAAAAGCCGCTATCAACTACATAGGCTCAATCCATTATCATGCCTAGAATTGTACCCACCCCAGAAGTCACTGACTAATAGCCAAGGCTTCTTCTTTCTGGGGCTTCAATTTGTGGCCAACCCCAAAACTCCTGTCTTCTCCATTGCTCTGATTCAGTGAATAAATAATTTGGAGTTTGTATCTATCCTGTCTGTACATCAGTCATGGGGGCTCAAATTCAAAGAGTATGTGTCAGTTTGGGTCCCCCAAAGAGCAAATATACCAACCAAACCAAACCAAAGTCACTGCCATCTAGTCGATTCCGACTCATAGCAACTCCTTTGGGTTTCCAATCTTTATGGAAGTAGATTGCCTAGTCTTCCTTCCATGGAGGGGCTGGTGGGTTTGAACCACCAACCTTCTGGTTAGTAGTCAGATGCCTTAGGCACTACACCACCAGAGCTCCTTAAGAGCAAATATACCAGTACAGAATTACACATGCAAAAAATGTATTGGAAGGAAACATCGAGAGGGTGCAGGTAGAGGCTTTAAGATGGTGACGCAGATCTGATCCCAATAAAACCAAAGGGACAGAAGGAGGATTGGAGAGGAAGAGACTAAGACTGCAGGTCTAAGAAAGTCTTGGCCAGGCCAGTGGGGAGGCCTGCAGTGAAGACTTCTCCGCAGAAAGTCCTGCTGAGCAGGGATAGCCAGGACCACTGGTTACTAGTTGTCCACAGTGGTTAAGCCTTTAAACATTCCACCACTAGCACATGAAAGTTCCAGTGACTCCTCATCCTCATCAACATTTGATATTGTCAGCATTCTTAATTTTAGCCGTTCATATAATGGTATTTCATTGTGGTTTTAATTGGCATTTCAATAGCAAATTGCCAAAAGAGTGTGTTGTATGATTCCATATATAAAAAATTCTAGAATAGTCAAAGTAAACTCAAATAACAGAAAGCAGATCATCATTGCCTGAGGATGTAAGGGGTGGAAGGAGCGGGTGGGAGGAGGAACTACAAAGGGGCATGATGACACTGACCAATGATGCATGTGTTCTCTGAGGGGACATTGGATGGCGGTGATGACTTCACAGGGGTCCAAGGAAGTCAAAGTGTATCAGCTTGTACACTTCAAATATGTTCAGTTTATTGTATGTCAGTTTTATGTCAAAATCCTATTGAAAATTATATAAAATAAATCCTCAAAGGAAAGAGAAAACTAAACTATGGTAAGTGGTTAAAAGATAAATGATATACTGAGTCATGTATGATGAAGTATTGATAGCCTTTAAGTATGACAACTACAAGGAAAATCCTTAGTAGAAAATGGGCAAGTATCATAAATTAAAAATTTAACCCCTAAAATGGTCAAAAATATATGGGGGAAAATCTGTCTTATTTGAATTCATATAAATGCAGATCAAAACCATAATGAGCTATCATTTTCCATTTATATTGTCAGAGATGCAAAAGGTTAGCAAACCCAAATTTGACCAAGTATAAATAGAAATAAGTCTTGTTATCAGACACTCCTGGTTAGAACTAAATTGACAAATTCTGGAAGACACTTAGCTGTACCTTCCAAAAACCTTAGAAATCTTGATTTCTTTAAATCAGAAATTCCACTTTCAGAAATGTTATCTGAGGAAATAACCAGAATCCATATCAAAAAGACTAATATTTGTATATGTGTAATCACAGCAGTGTTTAAAATGGTGAAAAACCAGAAAATGGTTAAATATATAAAGTAGATATAATGTACTTTATATTTATATATTTAAGTAGATATAATGTAGGAGCTCTGGTAGCTTAGTGCCTAAGGCACTTGACTGCTAACCAGAAGGCTGGTGGTTCAAACCAGCTTGGAACTCAAACAACTTGGAAGGAAGATGGGGCAATCTACTTCCGTAGTGATACTGCCTCAGAAATCCAAGGAGGGGTCACTATGAGTCAGGTCTGACTCAAAGGCACATAACAACAACACTCATAATGTACAATGCTATGCAACCTTAAAAAAAATTTTTTTTTAAAGTATTAAGTTTAGAGCTTTCATCAGTAGTCAAGATGTCCAATAGTGTACTATGAATTCATAGAGGAATTTAAAACCCATATAAATATGACATTATAGAGTGCAGCCCACGTTGAAACACACACACACATACACATGCCCGCACACACACACACACACACAAGTAGTTAATCCAAAAACGCTGGAGTCCTAGCAGCAGCTACTGTTTTTCTCAAAGCACAAATTCAGTGTATTTGAGAATAGATTCAACTCCACAATGCAATTCATAAGAAATAAGTATTTTACCGAATTTTGAGGGGAGATGTACACGTTTTGGCAACACCACTGTACAGCAAAGCTTCACAACAATTCCCTTTAAACATTTGTTTTTCTTTCACATTGCTTTTCAGCCACCTGACATACCACCCCTCCTAGGCCCACAGGCCCTGGGTCTCTCAGTCACTCCATTCTTCCACTTCCTCCTCTCCCGCAGGCCTCCTCCTCCCCCTCCCACCTCACCTGAGTCCCTTTTTCTTCTATGAAGGAAATGCTGTCCTCTCTCTACTTCTCCTTGTCACGTCCTTAGATCCATAAGCAGGTCAGCAGATAGCAAATAACCTTTCTTAGGATGTACTCTCCTTAGAAATTAACATAGGATTATGAATAACTATTTATTGTCATAAATGTATTTCTGATACCAAGAGGTGCTACATATTACAGAGAGATATGGGAGTATGGACGATTTTTCTAGGAACTATTTATAATTGTTTTTATTTTCTATTTTTCCCACAGCAGACACATTACTGAAAACTATTAATATTCTAACAGGAGCTCTGGTAGCGTAGTCCCTAAGGCATTTGACTACTAACCAGCCTTTCAAACCCACCAGCCACTCCTGGAAGGAAGACTGGGCAATATACTTCCATAGTGATACTGCCTCAGAAATCCAAGGAGGGGTCGCTATGAGTCAGAATCGACTCGATGGGACTGAGTTGTTTTTTTAAAATACTCTAACAGAGGCGTGATCATTAGAAAGCCAATCACAAACCAAACCGGCAAAAACATTTTCCATTTCTATGCATTCCTCCACCCTCTGTCAAGGATTCACAAGGATCCACGGGGCAAAATGGCTATTAAAACCCACTGTCATCCAATTTCAACTCTAGCGTCGCCATAGGACAGAGTAGAACTTCCCCATAGGGTTTCCAAGGTTTTAAATCTTTATGAACACAGACTGCCACACCCTTCTCCTGCAGAGCAGCTGCTGGATTCGAACCACTGACCTTTCAAGGAAAGGGGTGTACACATGGAAGGAAACTCTCTTTGTTGGTTACCAGGGATGGGAGGGGAGGAAATATTGCTAGATAGATTAAAAATAAATAAATTATATATACACACACACACACACACCAAACTCACTGCCATTGAGTCAATTCTGACTCATAGCAAACCCCCTTTGGGTTTCCAAGCCAGTAAATCTTTACAGAAATAGATTGCCCAGTCTTCCCTCCACAGAGTGGCTGCTGGATTTGAACTGCAAACCTTCTGGTTAGCAGTCAAATGCCTTAGGCACTGCACCACCAGAGCTCCATATGTGTGTGTGTATGTGTGTATACACACATATATATATGTATGTGTGTATATATATGTATGTGTGTGTGTGTGTATTTGTAGTATGTATGTGTGTGTG